CCCCCCAAACCCCCCCCCCCGCCCCCCCCCCCTGCCACTCTGCTTTTTCCAGTGGTAAAAGCAGAGCGGCAGCGGGGGACGTGGGAGATGTCTGAAAGGGGGGCGGGAAAGGAGCCAGTGTCTTTGCGCACCGGGCTCCTCTGTCTCTTTATGGGCGGGGGGAGGGGAGCGTTCGGGTTCTCGCAGAACCCTTATGTTCACTTTGCGGAACCCCAGGGTTCTGCGGAGCACCATTTGGGAAACACTGCCCTAGCAGCAACCCACCCAGCCATGGCTTCAACATGCCATGGCAACAACCCTCCTGCCCTCCCATGTGTTCTAGGCCTGAAACGCAACAGCCACCCCACAATGTGGCCTCATCCCCAGCGACAGCCGATCCCCAACATGGCCCCAGGCCGTGCACATCCCCCCAGCGGAACCAGCTACAACACTCACCTTCCAGGAGCAGGAGGAAAGTGAGTGCTGCTGTGGAGGTGGATGAGCTTAGATTAGAATTTTTTTGTGCCTTGCCGTGTACGTGTGCATGTTAAGGGAATGTTGGTGCAGGCTCCCAACTGCATGGGGTAGATGGGACAGGGCTGAACATCTGCCTTGTGTGCCAATGAAAGTGGCACGCGTGCTGTAGGTTGCTGACCTTTGAGCTACATTCATCCTCCACACCAGAGGGAAAGTTACAAAGTGGGGCTTTCGGGGGAGTGGTGCATGTGAAAAGACCTCCCCTTTACCTGCTGAAAAAAGGAAGAAGAAATACCCAGAGTGAGAATACTTTAGTCTTCATGTCCATTCAATTTTGACCTCTTAGCTGAAAGTTCATTTTATGAATTAGTACTAATTGTGATTTCTGTGGAGACATTTTTGACACAACTCATTCAAAAAGCCATAAGAAAAGCTTAATCACAAAGATATCTTTAGGTATTGGGGTAAAAACTAGAATGCTGACTTTTCAGTCTTAGGTTTTAAGGAACAAACTTGCACCTGCACATCTGCACCCACCAGGTTAGCGGTGAAGCACTCATAAGTGAGCCACAAGAGGGCAGCTACTTTCCTTTGGTTCCAAATAGGCACTCTTTGTACTCATCACCCAGTGTGTGGCTGTGTGCAGCTTATTGTAAAACAGACCAATGCATATTAACTGATTAGTACAGAAAACAATTAAGTATGTATTAATGGATGCTTGAGTGTTGAAGATAGCCAGATCTCCCTTAGTAAAAGTTCTGCCATAAAAGTGCATCTTATATAATTTAACACCTTGATTCAAGCAAAAGTACATATAGTCTATGTCTACACTGGCGGCTTCTTGCGCAAGAACAGTTCTTCCACAAAAACTTGCTGGGCGTCTACACTGCAAATGCGTTCTTGCGCAAGTAAATTTGGAAAGCGTTGGAAAAGAGGGCTTCTTTCAGAAGAGTTATTCCTCTCCCCACGAGGAATAAGGCCTCTTGTGCAAGAGCTCATGGAAACATTGAAACAATGTGCTGGGTAGCCACTGCATTGTCCTTTCTTTATAGATCTATAAGACAAGGCTTTAAGACTGAAAAAAACTTTAATGAAAGCTTTGTGATGTCTTTATATTGCTAAAATACAGAGAAGCTGTCTTTGTACATTTCTGTGCTGCACTGCTGTTTATAAAGAATTATTACATTTATTCTTTCAGTTCTTCATACTAGTTCTTTCTGCCGTACATACTAATTATTTTGGACCAGATTCTGTCATCCTTACATTAAAGGGTACTACTCAGTGTAAGAAAAGATGGCATAATCTAGCACAGGCACATCTGTATCTCATTTAAATCTTATCAAGTGCTAATATTTTTTTATTTTTTTTTTAGGTCATGTTTACTGGTGACAATATTCCTGTTCATCCTCATGTTTATAGCAATGGTCATATCTGTTTATCCATTCTAACAGAGGACTGGTCTCCAGCTCTTTCAGTGCAATCAGTGTGTCTTAGCATTATTAGTATGCTTTCCAGCTGCAAAGAAAAGGTATGCACTCAGTGTGAAATAAATTAAACCTGTAAGTTTTTATATTTTCCCTAAGTCACAGGTTTTATCTATATTTCTCACACTTAAATAATGTAACCCTTTTTCTTATATGCAAATACGTTTTAAAAAATGAAGCATTTTGGTAGTTCCAATTAGCACAGTATTATACTAGAACTAAAAAGTCAACAGAACAATAATTCCCTCATTAGTTGCTGATTACTGTGAGAAGAGAGTCTTGAATAGAACAGAATAGAACATTTTAAATATATCCATTACTAGGCTAAAATACATTTTTAGGACAGCTCTTTATATTGACTTTAAAGGAAGTACATAAGTAATGGTGCAGGTTGGACCTCCCTGGTCCGGCTCCCTCAGGACCTGACTGGTCCTGGATGAGGGGTTTTACTGGACCAGGGGAGATCATTTCAGCCCTAATACCGCAGGCTTCCTGGCTTCCCCAGGCAGCCCAGCTGAGCCATGCAGCCACCACCTCTCAGCTCCCCCAGCAGCCCAGCTGTGACCACCCTGTGACTATTTTTCTTAAAAAAATACTATTTAGAAAATTGCATTACTCATTAGGCTGCAGATCTTCATGAGTGGGGCTAACCCAAGTCTATCTGGTGAATCTCACCAAACTATGACAGACTTCATATAGACCATGGGTCAGGAACCTCTGGCAGGCGTGCCACAAGCGGCATGCGAGACGATTTTCAGTGGCACACAGGGCAGGAGCTCAACCCCACCCCTCCTCTCGCGTAGCGGGAAGACAGTGCTGTGGCTCCAGCCTCAGCTGTGCTGCTGCAGGCTGGAGCACCAGCTC